AAAAGTTGGGTAAGCACTCATTATGAATATGGCGGAAAAAGGAGGAGTGGTGTTGTGGTGGGGAAAAAAAAAAAAAAAAAAAAAAAAAAAAAAAAAAAAAAAAAAAAAAAAAAAAAACCAAAACTCAAAAATGACCTTAACAGTTAACCGTAGATCTCCTTAATCCTTCGCCCGAACAAGAAAAACGTAAACATAAGCTTAAAAGGCTGGTGCAAAGTCCAAATTCCTACTTTATGGACGTAAAATGTCCAGGTAATGAATTATGAAATTATGTTAGAGTATACTCCGATCAATATCAAATTTATTAATGCTAAATAATTAAAAACTCATAATAGGTTGTTTTAGCATCACGACTGTATTTAGTCACGCTCAGACAGTCGTATTATGTGGATCCTGCGCTAACGTTTTGTGCCAACCAACTGGTGGTCGTGCTCGTTTAACTGAAGGTTTTTATTAATAATAAATTTTCTGATTTCAATTCATATTTGATTATAATTTTTTTTTTTTTTTTTTTTTTTGCCAATAATTAGGTTGTTCCTTCCGAAGAAAGATTGGTTAATCGAACCGAAAATATATATATTAATATGCATACCCAAAATCAAAATTATGTTATGCTAGCGACATAAAATTGTTTCGGAGCTCATCACCACGTAAAATTTTGCAACCTTTTTCTCTCCTTTTTAAATCAATTCGCAAATGTATGAATAAATCATCACTCCGTGGTATCTATAATTTTATAATAATAAATAAATTTCTCTTTTCCGAAAGTTCTAATTTTTAATCAATAAAAATTATGAATTTTGTAACTTATCATTAATAAAAGTTACGAATTTTATATATTAAATTAGATATGATTAAAAGTATATATTAACTTTTAAACAATATGGATTTGATTCAATAGAAAAAAAGTGTTAAATTTTTTTAAAATTTTTTATAGAATAATTTTAATTTACAATTTGCCAATTAGATTTTAGAATAAAAGTGTAACAGAACCGAACAATACTAATAAAGGTCATATTTAAAAATAGCTAAAATTAAACAATTTAATTGGTTAAAAATTTTTTTATCCAATTAAATTGCAAAAAACTACTAATGGCTCAAATATAACCTTCATCACAATATTTGTCAAAGCATTTTATAAGTACTTAAAAAAGGTATTTATTGAATATAAGATAGTTGAAATAGTACTAAAATATAGTTGATTAAAATATTTATAAAGTAATTAAATCATGGCCTCACCTTTGAAGATTAAAAAATAAAATAAAATAAAGTAATTAAATACCGCATTCCTCCAAAAATAAGCACCCTTTTTTGCACTTAATGCTAGCCGTAATTGTCGTAAAGCGGGCCAAAGATGGCATAGTGTGGGCCAGGGGTGCTTATTTTCGGGGAGTGCTTATTTCGGAGGAATACAGTAATTAAGTATTTAATAAATCTAAATTTTTAATACTTAATTAGTACTTAACATTTTAAATGCTTTATAAATATAAGAGTTAAATACTTATTTAATATTGGTATTTAATTAATATAAGTTGTGTTTGGTATAAGATCATGATATTTGTTATAATTATTTGAAGTGTTAGTATAATACTGTATATAAATTAATTTTGTATAATAAAAAGAATCTTTAATATAGGTGGGCATATATAATTTTTACAAGATTATAATATATAAAATCTAACTAATTTGAGCCAATTTAAATTTTAACCTTTACTCTAATCCTAATAATTTATAAAATTATTTAAATTGCTTTAAAATAGTTAAGTAATATATATTATACAGTAATTGTATAATAATTATATATGCCTATCTATACTAAAAGTCAATCCAAAAAATTATTAAATCAAAAAATCCTCTTTCAAATTGATAGTTTGTAACCTAAACTATATTTTTGAAAGAGGATTTTTTTTATTTTTATTTTTAACAATGTTATAACAGTTTAAATTTTGTCTATTTTATATATAAATCAAAATTTTGGCACTGATCTACATGCATAAGCCAATA